CAGCAAAATGAAACTCAAGATCATCAGATATGTAATCAAAATATTCATGTCTAAACAGACTAAACATCTTTAGTCATGAACGTGTTTGTTCACCTCGCCAACAACACCGTCAGCTAATTGGTGAAAATATAACTGTATTGTAATGAAATGGCAACATTTGCAATATAGCTTTAAAGTCACATGTACCTTGTATCTATGCACATTGCTTGGAGTAAACAAGTAATTGAAATCATTATATTTAAGACCTTTTTCAAGACATTGAAGACTTTAGTGCGAACCCTTAATCTCACCTGATGGTTCTGTAGTGAGTTATTACCGGCAATAGGTAGACTAGATGGCGCACATGGTAGAATATCAAGAGGTGATCCCATCACTGTTCCCGGCTTCCCCTCTCCTACATTGTTCCAAACCAGTGCGCTAGGACAGCAGAGTGTGATCGTCTGCAGCGCACAGCTCAAACTGAGAACCAGTGAGCGATGCTGAGCACAACTATTGTACTCAGAGAAGACAGCAGCTACTGGATTCATTGACGAGGTTGGTGGTGGTTGAGGTGGCGGTGGTTGACTGGAAGATGCCCTAAAGTGAAATAAACATCGAAACATTTATACATATAAAGCAGTGTACGGCAACAATACTGTCTTCGGATACTGTAGAATACTTTATTTTCACTTTGAATTATTTTTCGCTAATTTCGCTTAAGGAATGATTCAGTGAAAATAAAATCCAGCGAAAATACCTTTTTTCCTATATTTTACATTCACCTTTTTAAAAAGCAGTGAAATAATGTGTTTTACAGTAATACACTTGGTTCTAGTCTATTCTTTCTCACTGACAATTCACACAATGAAGTACAGTATAGTGAAACTGTAATATTTTGAAGGATTTCAATTCTTCACCGAATGTGAGCTGAACTGCCGTCACGGTTCAATGTAGAAAAAATTACTACAAAATGTCAGGAAAACTACACAATAGTTAAAGTTATATACACCTGTATATGCCAGTAAACAAAACCAAATTGTGCTTTTGGTCACCAATATACTGGAGAATACTTTATTTTAGCTGGAATTAATTTTAGCTGAAAAAAACATATTGGGTGTTTTGTATTGAATTTTTTTTCACAGATTTTTGACAAGTTGAATGTAAAATATAGGAAAAAAGATATATATTCGCTGGATTTTATTTTCACTGAATCATTCCTTCAGCGAAAATAGCAAAAATAAATTCCAAGAGAAAATAAAGTATTTTACAGTATATGAGATGAGTAAATTAAAGCACATGGTGCCTATAATAATAATCAACTTACCCAGTTGATGAGTTTGCTAGATGCGGAGAATGCGACTGTGACTGATTGCTATCTGAGGATTCATTACATAAAATAGCTAACTTTCTGGCACAGAAATATGCTAAACGACGCGACAAGACTTGATTCTGCACAAATTCATCTAAATACTAAAGAGAATTGTAATATATATATATATTAATGAAATTATAAATATATAGATTTTGGCAATACATAGTTTTTTTAATGCAGCTTCATCTAAAAAATTCAAAAAGCCTTATGTCAATTCAAAAGACTATCATCTATTTCATACCATGTGTAATGAAAGAATCCCCCACAGACGAGATTTCACAATCTGATTGGTTAGTTTCAAAATATAAGGACTGATTGAACACCTTCAGACATATCAATGTTATGTTATCTGTGGCAGTTTTTACTGCACACATAAATAAAAAATTAAATTCATTTTTCTGTACATTTGATTCCAGGCTGCAGGCATTTCATTATAAATTTTTACATAGGGCAATTTACACAAATAACACTTTGTGTTTATGGAAATTAGTTGATAGTACATTGTGCACTTTTTGTAACGCTGATATTGAAACTCTTGAGTATCTTTTTATTACATGCACTATTACTAGGAGATTTTGGGGAAAATGTCAGCAACTCTGGAAAAAATGGACAAACGTTGATATTTTATTGTCTGACAGGGATATTTGTTTTGAAATACACGGCAGTTTTCATTGTAATCTTCTCAACCTATTTATTTTAATTTGTAAACAGCACCTCTATTCTGAATCGAAAAGAGGTTCTGTCCCAAAGGTGGAAGTCGTGGAGAGTATAATGTTAAACACTCGTATTGTAGAGCGACAAATAGCTATCAATAATGGTTCAATGTCTAAATTTAATGAAAAATGGAACATTTTCAATTATAAGTAAATCACTTATTAGCCAGATTTGTCAGCTTATCAATAATGTTCCCCCACTTCCACTTCTTTTAAGCCATCCACTTTTCATTTTTTGAAATTTTTTTTTTTTTTAAAAATTAAATTCATTGTATACTGGGTCATTACAATTTTACTTATTTGGAAAGACCTTTGTGTCATTTAAATAAATGCATTTTAAAATTTAGTATTAATGCTTTTTAGAAAAGAGTCTCTAAAAAAATATAAAAGACTAATCCACAAAACAGGGAAGTGAAGATGGGGCAAGATAGCACTGACCTCTTTGCCTCGGTCATGTGTTATGTGATGTGGAAGAAAATCTATGAGATCATGGGGCTTCCCTGACCTAGATTTCTCTCTCCGCCATTGGCTGAATCGCAGATTTATGTCTACAGTTAAAAATAGTCATTTTGACTGAATGGAGTCTATGATGGGTAATTGAACGTAGTAGGTTAACAATACCAATACAATATTGAGAGCTATCAGGTACTGTAGATTTCCATGCACACTGAATGATCAATAAACAGGTCTAGTATTGATCAAGCACCACAAAGCATGCCAATAATAACAGCATGACTAGTACAAGCTAAGATCACAATAATAACTACCCCGGTACACTGTTTCACATACAAAATACAACACTATGCTCTATATTTCAAAGCATGGGTTATTTGTAAACTCACCTGAAGCACTAGTGGCATGACAAGTTTTAATAAGCCCTCATCATGTATTTTAATTTTTTCTAATATTTCCACAATACAAGTCAAGTAGTCCTGCCTGTCCATCATTCCCTCCTGAAATTATACAACATTTCAGCAGCTCATGTTACAATGACAAACACAACACGTGATGAATATGCACAATGAGCAATTTCTGCCGTAAGTATCTTCTACATTGAGGTAAGTAACATTGAACGATGATGACATTCCCAGTGGACCACAGCAAAAAGTAGAATAATAGAACTTTTATTAGTTAGTGAAAATACAAGGTATTTGCAATATTAGCCCGTAATCTGAGACTTTCTCCCCTACTCTTAGAGCATAAGACATGACAGTAAACCATGCCATGTGGGTAGTTGGTATGACAATCAAATCTCTCTAAAAAAACACAAAAAAAAAGTCCAGTGTTTTGATTCATGGAGGCCTCAAAGGCAATTGCACTCTACCAGTTTATCTTTAAATAGCACCTTTCCTTACTATATAAAATATAAGGCACTTATATAAGATTTTGTCTTTGGGCTCTCCTAAGGGTCAAGCTTAGAAAATCAGCTGAATTTATGAACATTCCAGGAGCTTCACCAACTACATGCATCAGAAAACCAGGATGCAATGATTGGCCATTTTAACCAAATTTAGAACCACACCTACCTCGTAAAGATAGCGTGCTAGCCTGCACGTATAATTCCATAATTTCAAAGCTAGTTCAACGTCACGTGGAGGGGAAGAAAAACCAGCAGATCCAGTAGATGATAGAATGTGGTAATACTCAGAGACTTTGTGGAGCTGCTCTCGAAGAATCTTGGATATTGCCTGAGTCCATTCTGTAATAACAACAAAATGAAATGAATTAAAGACAGACCAAGAATGTACACAGAGTGGAAATATCACTGAGATGAACTACAAAGCTAGAAGTGAAATGAATCAGGACTTGACATGATGTCTAAGGTTTAATTGGATACAGTTCTGGGAGTGGCAGAAATGCTGGCTTTTGACCTTAGCAAAACAAATGTATTTGTGAAGTTTGAACATGAGTGGCCAAGAAAGGTCTCTGGAAAAGTAACCTTTAAAACAAAATGGCCACTAGTCGGCCAATTTGAATCCGATCTGCAAAAGAAAGGTAATTGCATCAAGGTCTCATCATGTCCAATGTATGTACTAAGTTTGAACAAAATTCAGTCATATACAACCATGATCCAGTTCTAAAAGGGCAGAAATATTCAATTCTGATAAATTTTTTAATGAACAGCTGCCATACTACTATCTTAAATCAGATTGTGAAACGAATACAAGTGCATATGTACTCTTTTAATACGTATGATGCGTGAAGTTTGAACATGATCAGTCCAGGCATGTCTGAAATACAGCTACAAAAGAGTGAATGAAAATATGAGTTTATATTTTCACTAACACATACTAACATTTTGGAACATATGCTTCACTTTTTTTATAATTATTAGTAGAGGCACATTTTTTTTATCAGGTTTGATGAACAAAATGTGGAAAAGTTTGATGAAGATATATACAACGCGGCAATAAACAGATGAAATGAGATATTCACCAAAATTACAATTTATTGCCAATTTAACCATGCATGGTATAAAAGAAAACTGGTAGTATGGTACATGCCTTGCGGTGGGTCGTTATTCTGTCTTCTTTGCTTCTTTGCTTCAGATATTGCTGCATAATACGCTGAAGTCATTTTTATAAACCATGTTGCTCTAATCACAGGCACAGAGTTCTCACATAAAAAACTAAAAACTTCCTCTTTTTTGTTGAAAACAGGCACCTATACCAAGATCACAGATAATTTTAAAGGTTTAAAATATGACAAGGATTTGTGCAAAGAACCATAACATGAAGTACCGGTAATTCTTATTGCATATGTTATCTACACTCTTGTTGTGTCTTTTATTTTCCAGCCAATTTAAAATCTCTAAATACTCTGAATTTTAAGGTTTTATTGGGTAGGTAGAAAAATTGTGAATCCCCAGAATAAAATAGTGGGTTTTTGTGACATTTTACTGATCTTCAGACGTGTCAATTGTACTGAGAGTAGAAAGAGGAACTCATTCATCAAGAGACTTTGAGAATGTGTAAAATTTTACTCCAGTAATACATACTATAAAATTTGCATCAAGTAGAAACAATACTATAATATTATTTTCCAGGCATTTATCCACAGACTAGTTTACATACAGGTAAGACAAGCCATGCATGGCACAGTCCCCGTTAGTTATCAAATTTAAGATATATAGTTTTGTTTATAGTAATATAGCCAGGAATATGATTTCTTTAACATTAAAATGATTGACATTTGTATATGATCGTCAAACAAGTACTTGTCCATATTGAGAGATATTGCTCTGGAACAGCATTCAAAATAAGCCATTTTGAATACATGTATATATATATAACATGATGTATAACGAATATATAAAATTTGAAAATAATCAGTCAAAGCATTTAAGAGATATGGCTCAAGAAGCCCAATCATTAAAACAAAATGGCCACCAGTCAGCCATTTTGAATCCTATCCGAAAAATAAAATGATGTGCATCAGGAACCCGCGATGTCTAATGTAT